GTCTCAAAACAAGATCAAAAAAGACTTTTTGGCTGGATATAAGATTTTAAAACTTGGTAAGATGGACAGTTTTTGCAGTGTAGGGATGCACCGATTTGAAAATTTCAGCTGATATTGATATCTGACATAATTATTGCTGTTATGGCTGATAACCAACATTTACCAATATTACACAAACACACAAATTATATTATACATAAAACGCACAAATACACTTGGGTCTGTTTTTGATACCGTAAATAAATGACCAGACCTGCATTACTCCCTACTTCAATTATTCCTGGCTGCGCAGCATCAGTATCACTATCACAATCAAACAGATGCTGCTCAACCAACCATCTCCCCTCCCAAAAACAGAAACACAAAGCTAAAAAGTGGGAAGTCAATATAGGACGTTAATATCTGCCCAGTATTACATATYGGAYTGATACTGATATTCTAAAAAATGACTAATATCAGCCGATACCAATATTAATGCTGATATACTGTGCATCCCTAGTTTTATGAGTTTGGGAGTGCTGTGGGAGAAATTATGATGACATCTTCCTCCAAACTGTGAACACTGTTAGACAAAGACGTCCAAAATGATTTAATCACTGATCCATTGTCTTGCATCTTGTTGAAGTATAAACCAGCCTTAAGACTCATAAGATTAAGTTACAATCACCATATTTAATGGTTGGTTTCAGATTGCAGGTGACTCATTAGATGTAATAAATCACAGGTGTGATCACTTGAGTCAACAACAGAGTCTTAACCTCTGACTGCTCACCAGCCCCACCTCCAAACACAAGACTGGGTGGAAAATAAAACGGGGACTGATGGGGAGATACTGTGGATGTCTGAGTTTTTCTCCTGAACTTTCTGCCTCTTTCAATATACAGTACTTTTATCTTATATTTTGGAGCACAGATGCTCAGTCATATGGCTTGTTATCATGAAACCACAAAAAGGGAAACAACAACGTTTGAAATAAACTGCAGAGATTTAAATGAGAAAGGTCAGCAGAAACAAAACKTATATTTGGGGAAACTTTAGGGACATGGTGAGACTTTGTTCCTCTAATCGTAATTGTAATCTTGGCTGTCTCACTCGTTGGCAAACTGCCTTTAAAAACATTAAAGGGAGATTAGAAGCCACTRAGCAGACAGGTTCTTAGAGGGGTAAATACATAATAATGAATTATCTCCTTGGCAATATAATGAGGTTTGTACCTTTTACTGGAGTTACCKTGAGGCCTTTTCTTTTCATTTTGGATAAAGAATAAAGTTAATTTTGACCCTTTAACTATCATAAGTGTATTGAAGCTGCAGAGAAGAAAATGAAAAACTCTAAACAATAAAGCTAGCATGAATGGCATTGGGTTTAAAAGAGACTGAAAAAAAATGAAATCTGCACAGTRAACAACAACGACTCACTGAATGTGCCTCTTTCCCACCCAAACAAACACATCAATTCTTTATTCTTTCTCACGAAGTGCAGATGCTCTAACCTTTTGCTGTTCTTTCCATCAGAGTGGAAAACACAGCTGTGTGGAGGGGCACAGGCACACTGCAGACAGACCCTCAGCTCCTTTTTGGGTGTCAGGAAGACCCAACACTTGTCTCCATCTAGAACTGTTTGTCCTCTAAAACACAAAAAAACAGATTTTTCCGCTTGACTTCATGCATATTGAT